CTGAGTCATGTTGTTGAACTGTTGGTGTCAACGGCTACCTACGCTCGAAGCCTCTTGGAACAGTTCAGGCATGGGTTAGTCATGTTCTGCGCGGGATGAACAAGAGCTTGCTTCGTCAGGCAACTTCCGCGGGAAGCACTCTGAACTCATCACGAACTGTGAGCAGATTGCCTTCCTGGGGGGAGAACGGCCGGAGAAAGACGTCCTGAACAACTCCTTCGGTGAGCTGATCAGCCACTGCAAGAGAAGCATCAACCTCTCGTTCAACTCTGAAGTGCTCAGGCAGTACCTGAACAAGTATTTCTGTACGGTTATTGGCCTGGTTCTCATTGCGAGGCCTTTGCGGCTGCGGCCAGCAGAACTGCCCCAATTCACAAGTGATCAAATTGCACAGTACTTCACTTCGACCTGGAGAAATATGGAGGCCATGGCTACAGCCATCCAGGATGGGGTCTGCAGGGCGCTGCAATGCACCGTCGGGGCATGAAAAGCGGCACGCTTGTCGCTGCCTAGTAACTTAGTAGGCCTGGTGATTGAAGGTCCCCACAAACGGCTAGAGTTATCGAGCCTTGGGCATGTGACAAGACTTCGACCATTTCTTTCCGATGGAATCGGCAACAACCTGGAGGGTCCCCCTGTCAGGGGGAACAAAAAGTGTTGCAGGAGTGTAAAGTTAGGGGACAGACTTGGATTGTCTCAGCTTTGAACCACTTCTTGCCTCACCATGCCCCACGACAAACTAGGGCTGCGCAGCGGTGCTGAGTCAAGACATGGCTACTTGGGAAATGTTACTTCTGCACCATCACGTTTGTCAGGACCTGTTCGAGCTCACGAACCGTATAGGAAGATTGAGTGGCTTCGCAACTCGTGTTCGTCAGCTCATGTTGGGCCTGGAATCCCGTCCACCGGTTCTCAACGAAGAGATTGCTAAAGCCCAGCGTGGCAGCTTGACCGAATCGAACGCTCTTTCCGACATTCAAGAGCGCCGTTGGCAATTCTGTTTCCATGTGTGCTGATTCGAGGAGTTTGCCATGTGGGGTGCTTGTGTTAGTACAAACTCAGCCTAAGGTCCGGACCCTCCGGTGTTCAAGAAAGGCCCCCACCTGAAGTTCGAGCACGTCACTTGACGAGAAATACACGCCAACCATGCTGACAACTCATGACAACCAGAGTCTTTCAATGAACAAGCAGGTTTCTGTATATCGCCCTGACGGCACGCTCCTCGTCAAGGATCTGAACTTCACAGTGGAACGTGGGCAGCGTGTTCTGGTGACCGGTGGAAACGGATGTGGAAAGTGGCTCGCTTAACTTATCTTAAGCGACTCTTACATCTCCCCGAACTTAGATTTGTTTGCTTCGACGGTCACTGTTGCATTGCACATGCGGCATGATGTATCTGGACCCGCAGGAAATGCTTATGTCAGTCATGTGCGGTGCATGTAGCTTGGTAGTAGGCGCTAAGAGCAAAATCATTTAGAAGCGCATTTGGCAATTTTCCCAGGTCCAGTCTCTTTCGGGTCATCCGCAAGCTGTGGCCGCTGGTAGAAGGAACTATTACCATGCCAGAAGACAAGGACTTTTTTGCTCAGAAAGCACTTCTCTGAAGGAAGACTTGCACCATAAGTAGCATAAGTATGAAGTTCCCATGCACGAGTCGGACTCACTGAATTTAGCGCTTAAGCCCGACTGCAAGCCTGCACTTTGAAAGGAGATCTACTTCTTGACGAAGCTCGGCTTCGCACATTCTGTCGCCGTGTTTTTTTGTGCACGGTCCATCGTGCCTGGTGGCTTGATTGCAACCCGTAGTTCCGGAAGTCACAGTGCCCAGCCAGCTTAGGCAAGTCAATTTTGTTCCCTGCGGCTCCCTCCGTGATTTGGTCATTTACCCGCAGTCCATGGAGGAGATGAAGGCTGTGGGCAGAACTGACGACGATGTGAGGACGTGCCTCAGATGGGCGCATGTTTCACCGCAGGTGGAACACGATGGGCGAGCTCAGCTTGAGTTTAATGACGGAGGAAGAATCGTTAAGCCGCGACTCGATGACGTCCGCGATTGGCAGAAAGACTTATCGCCAGGCCAGAAGCAACGACTAGCATTTGCGAGACTATTCTATCATCGACCTCATTTTGTGGTGCTGGACGAGTGCACAAACGGAATTTCACCTGATGTGGAGCACGACCTGTACGATCGCTGCACACGGGAGAACATGGCTGTGTTCTCGATTTCTCACAAGATCGAGTTGAAGCTTTTTCATGTGACTTGGCTTTTCAGCCTTGCACGCTCCCAACAGCCGGAAAGAAGCAACGTCCCCGAATGCTGTATTGGCTCGTGTCGTAAAATGCTCTTCGGCGTCTGATGCGAAAGGCATAGCTCTTCTGTTCCGAAGTTAACGAGTAGTTAACAGGCAAGCAGGCAGAAGTGCTTCAAGGCCTCAGAACGAAAACTCTCCTGTTGCAAACAAGGAAAGGGAGCTCAGATACCTCGGCGACCTGGAAGGTAAATGGCAGATGAGCGAATGCTCTCAAACTCGAGACAAGATCACGCGAGCCTCCTCCACGGTCAAGCTTCCTGAGCCCGACAAAGACGGCAAGAAGGAATCCAGAATCACCTATGAAAGGCACACCTGGTTTGTTGATTGACCAGACTTGGGGCATCGGCAGCTTCTGTTGCTGTCGCTCGAGCGAGATCGCGCTCCGGATTCATGCGGACATATTTCCCACAAGAGCACCGCTGCAGTGCATTGTGCAGTCCACGAATTGAATCTCCGAAGCTTGCAGAAGGCGAAGTTCTGCGGGCGCAAGTTGCACTTTGCAGCTGATGTGTGCTTGTCAGATACCGAGATTGTCAGAGCAATGATGAGCAATGCCTCCAGCATTTACCATTAACATGCAGTCTGAAAGACAAACATGGTCAGCTGCACGGCTTGCCGGGGCTGTTTGTAGTTGATAGTCTGAGTCTGAGATGTGCCTGATCCGGCAATGGTAAAAGACGCGGTTGTGACATTATGGGTTTGTGTGACCTATTGTACCTATGCGTCCAGACGGGGATGGTACCAACTCCAGTCACGCAACCATTGTCCATCGGTCTGCTTTTGCTTGTGCTCGGTTATCTGTACATATACATCTGTAAATGGCTAGGAGCCTCACTGTTTGCTAAATGTTTGTGCTGCCATAAGCTCATGAAAACCTATTTATATAACTATCTGTTCACAGAGCGCACGAATAGTGCGGAGAACTCACGCCGCAAAGTCCGTGATATGTTATGCTGCAGCGGAATTTTGTTTCGGCGGTGCAGCATTGAGTGAGACGATCTCCTACACTGCTCCATGGTTCTTTGATTCGGCGTACTCTGGCGGAACTCGGCTCACCGGTCACGTGAGGGTTAGCTTGCCCCAGCCGTGCCGTGCCCTGGCTTGGATCTACACATCATGGGGGTCGAGTGCTCGGGAAGGGCTGTCTCGAATCCTGTGTGCTCTAACGTGCCTCCGCAACAGAATCTGCTATTCCGGAGGCCGTGAAGACGTATACCATGAAGATCAAGCTGGCCAAAAAGCCGGTTGCCTCAGTTCCGTGTTGTGCGTGCAGCCGATGTGCGGTCAGACGTGTCCGTCGTCATGCTACTGCACGGCACAGTTTGAGCACTTCGAGCACCAGACGTACCAAGTTCATGATCTCCAATCCCGGAACAGCGTAACAGTTGTGGGTTCTCCCCTGGCGACAACTTCGCGGTCCTCCATACTCGCAAGCCTGAGCATACCGCGTAGGGTCCACGCGGCTTTCAATACTCCCACGCCTGCAAGCATGTAGTGGCTCATCATGCAAGGATCAAGCAGAACAGACCCTTGCCTCAGTGGTTCCGTCTGAAGACTGGCACCAAGATTCGCTACAACAAGTGCTGCCCTCGGCTTCTGGACGGGGGCCTGTGCTCAGACAGTTCTTGTCCCGCAGTCATGAGAAGAATCTTCATGCCAACACAGCTGACCATAGCTCGCAAACAGAACTTGCCTGAATTTGTTTCGATGGGGACAGCATGAACATGGAAGGAGTGAATTCTACGAGTAGTGACTTCTGGTGGCTGTTGAGCCTCGCCCATCAAGCTGATAGCAGCACTGCTGAGTTCAGCCGATTCTTTCCAGTTGTGTTGCGCTTCGTTGTTTCGCTGATATTGTTTTGCTGACTGCACTTACCTGCGAGGTTTCGCCGACATTGGCGTCGTGGCAAGATTGGCGTCCGAACCCGAGTCTGCACGCATGCTCATGGCGTGGCGAACTCATGTGTGTAACAAATGTATGCTCAACTTTGTACGTCGAGTTTGCGGAAGGTCTGAGAAAGAGAAAAAGCCAGGACAGCTTCCCCTTGCTAGCAACAGCTGCGGATTGACAAAGATGTCACTTCTGCTAGGATGCTGGTCCAGGAGATCTCTATCCTTCTCAGCGATCGACAGTCCGCCGCCCGGCTACATTGTAAAGCAGCTGGACGCATATTTTGCCCGACCCACGAACCTCATGCCAAAGTTGCCTAACAGGTCCTACATGGGTGCACATGATGCTTGGCCACAGAGCTTGGTGATGTCGTTGGCACGAGGGCAAAAATGCAACCGTCTTCAATTGACTCATTTCGTTGCAAGTCAAGATTCTGGCGTGGTGTCGTCTGCCTTAGATTAGACTTGTTGGGTCTGTCTGCAAACGATTTTGCTGGTGCAAGTTGGGCACTCTGCAGTACAGGATAGACTTATGATGTTTGCAGTGAACTGACAGTCGTATACGCAAACGCAACGATAGTTCCATGTAATTCCGGTCGTGCGCGATCTGTTTACTTGATTTTACTTCCGGCTCCCCATCCCTTCGCCGTTGTGCTGTTTTCAACAGAGCCCAGGCTTCGACTTGAACGACTGGGCGAGCGAGAAAAAAGCGCAAACCCCCACAGAGCGAGAGAGTAATGAGTAATGTCCAAGCACCCGCAGTGTTCTGACTCAACTCGCTGCGGCAAGATTTTCCGTCATGGTCAGACTTCTGCCGGCCTTCCAAGGCAGGCAAGGGATCTGATAGCTGTTCCTTCCGTTTGTAAACTGAAATCCAGGAGACCTTTGTTCAGGAGTTGTGGGATGTTTGAGTCCGAGGCAGAGAATCAGAAGGTTGTACAGAGGGATAGAGACCTCCCAACCCTACCTCCCCTGAAATCACCACCACAGTTTTTAACCTAATGTGTCCTAGGGCCCTAGGGGGGGTAGCAGGAGCCAGAGTTCGAGCCACAGCAGGAACAAGAGCAGGATCAAGAGCTAGAGACGCGGCAGGAGCAGGAGCAAAAGCCCTTTAATTATGTCACTGAAGAGGAGGATAGAGAGGGAACGTCGGACCGCTTCGGCCCGGGCCAAGGCAAATCTCTTCAGGTACGTTGTGTCAAGATCACCAGATATATACTTGTATACAACAACAAGTACACTTTCATGACTGCACCCACTATGCCCGAAAAAGCTTTCGTTCACTTCCCGCTCCCGGTGTTCTTTTCCCGTAGTCAAGCGGCACTAGAGAAGTATGTTCATTCAGGGGCCGATCCGAAGCTACAGATATCCTTGATACTACCCCTGTCCCGCATACCTGTGCCACCTCTACTGACGCAGGAAAGGCGGGAAAGCCGGATGCAGGTTCTCCGCCGCCATGTCAGGACCATTCTCGTGGCAGAAGTAGTTTAGTCTAAGGAGGCCAATTCGCCTACTTCAGTGCCGAATTCGAAGTGAGGTCTTTGAGTACGCGAGAGGCAGAAACCCGGCACCCTAGAGGTCTTGAGCCGAAGCCTTGAAGCCTAGCAGCTATGCCGTAAGCCCTGAGCTATCAAGGAATCGCCCCCTTCCAGTGTCACGGGGTCGGGGGCGTTTGAGGGTGCAGGGCTTTCAGGGCTTGAGTTGAATAGGTACTGAGCTGATATACACGGGCAACTGTCCCGAACCAGAGACTAACAGATTTCACAAAGAGTTAGGCCAGATGTGTCTTGTCATGATCGTCAGGAGACTGCCATTATGTATGTACATATATATATATATGTATATATATATATATATACTATATATATATATATATATATATATAATTATATATACACCGTAGTCGCTAGCCGCATGCATGGGGATCTGGCCAACTTTGAGCGAAAAATTGGAGGAAGAAAAACCCCTGTCAGACTGGTTCCAGATGCAGAAAGCGCTTGCAGAAAACCTGCAACTCAGACCCTAAACCCAAGAACTACTTGGAGCCTTGCCTGCCTGCTCGAGCGTGGGCCTCGAAACCCTAAAACGAGGAGGCATGGACCGGACCCAGTCCATCCAAGATGAGAGCTTCAAGCGTGGTCACCGACTGCGACGTCAGCGACCTCGGGCTGACGAGTGAGGATCTGAAATCGGTTCAGCTTCTTGGACTGAAGGGTTGGGTGTTCACGTTCAGAACTGATAATGTGGCAATTTGTGATTAGCATTTGTCTACTATTACTGTTGCTGCTTGCCTCAGCCTTCCGGCGACGATTGACGGGTTTAGGACGTTCAGGATTTTAGGGGTTCAGGGTCAACGCGGTGCTTCAAACTTGCCGGCCCCGGACCGTGACTCAAAAGGGTGTTTGGTGTCCTCTAGCAGACTCTAGCATGAGAGCTGAACCTTCGCGAGCACAGCACCTTGACGTGATTGGAGAAGTCTAGGTGCACAAGCCCCCTGAAGCCTGAAGCAGTGCCCCTGCGTGAGGCTGGGGAAGTTGCCCGTGCAGACTACGGGATGGCTAGAGGCACGTCGAGCCTCCGAGCCCATCCACGGCGAAGCTCGGTAGGATTTGGATCACAAATTCCAGAAGGAAATGGGGGACTATGTTCTAAAGCAACACAGTAAGCTCAGTGACTTAAGCCAGCAGAGCCAGAACTCTGAACCTCACACCCCTGCGGGCTCGCCCATAGCATCTGCAGTCGGAAAAAAAAGAAAAGCAAACTGCTCAAACCCTAGTACCGCTGAGGGGGCTGGCTTTCGAGCCTGCCATGCCCCCTCATCTACCCCTCTCTACACCCTGCTGCACCTAGGACGGTGCACAGTCTTGGCATCTCGGCCTGGCTCCCCTTCGGCCTCGCCGTCCAAGTGCTTCTTCGTCCCCTCGGAAACGGCCGAGTCTGCTGCCCCTGGCTCCAGCAACTGGAGGGAACAGCGAGAACTCGGCCAACAACGCAAGTGACAGCGAGGATTACCAGCTACCTCCGAATGTCAAGTCAGCAAGAGGGCGTCCTACGGAGTTCTCAGGGACTCAGAGCTGGCAGCTCGGCCAAGAGAAATCAGAGGCACACCGTACACGCCTCCACAAGAGCATGGGCCCCCGCAGGGTGCGGACGCAGAGTCAAGAACTGGTGTCCCCGGTGTCAACCAAAGCGTCGACTCCCAGACAGGAAGTGAAGGCCGAAGCCTCGCCACTGCCACTTCTGGATCAGCGGCCTCCGCCCATGGCGATGGCCCCCCGATGTTTCTCCTTTGCAGAGGACGGCCACTAAGGTGCTGCGAGTGCTCAAATTGCAGCATGGGTCGGACTTTAGACTGTTAAGATATCAATTTGTTCCGTGAGTAGTTGTGTTTTCGACTTAGCAAAGGATCAAAGTGAGCTTCAAATGTCACGTGGGAATGCCAATAAAGACCGTCAACGTGAGAAATACATCACAACCGAATAGCCCGACAAACCTGCTGTGTCACGCGAGATTGAGATCCTGCCTCCGGCTTCTCCTGTTCGCTGAGGTGAAGGTGAAGGTTTGATTCTGCGTGTACCCTTCAAAATCCAAGTCGTATGGCTTCTCCTTGTCATCTCGAGCAGGTCAAGGGTTTAAATTTTGTTTTAGCCTTCCTTGGAGAAGGGCTTTAAGCAGGCTTTAAGGCAGCTTCAGACATGACAGATCTGGAAGTCTGTGAAAGATGAGCGCAAGAACACGGACCTCAGGACCCGTCGACCGGCATGAGTAAAGAGTAAAGTATGTCTACAAAGACAAGCCTATCTGACGGGCCATTAGGAACTGGCAGTACTACTTAATTTGAGAGTGTACAGCATAGATATAAGCTTGACGGGGTCACGTTACAGCGGTAAGGCCCAAGGCAGACAGCTAGGCCTGCTCGAGCAGGGGGGGGGGGGGCATTGGACGAGCCTGGTCAAATTCAGGAAACCTCCGGCCTGTTTGGTGTAAACTGGAGGGGTTCTCAGTGGTTCGCAGTTCGCTCGGCTTCCGGGTCGTTGTCGCACAATTCCAAAACAGGTACGCAAGCTCTCGAAAATGGGGTTTGAAACGCTTCTCGCGTGATCCCCGATTGCAAGACCGCGACCGGGGGACTTCAAACTTCGTATTGGTCGTATTGAAATGAGAGCTTGCGATAGAGGGCTTGAGGCGGGCTTGAGGTTGAGTCCAGAGAGGACTCCATGGCAGATGTGATGGCCAACATCCTCGATGAGGAGCCGGAGTGTGGCTGGATGGAGGAGTTTTGGCTCCCCGTGCTGGAAGGATCGCCGCCAGAGATATGTGTGTCCATATCCGGCCGCTCAATAAGCCACTGGATTGAGCTCTTCAATCGATGGCAAGCTGCCGGAGGTTGGAATCCGGGGAGTGCGCCGAGGTTCATGGATGCCTACGCCTTTCGTGACTTCATTGCTGCTCCTATGACGAACCTTCCCGGCGCTTAGTTAACAGCAAGAGCAGATGTGTTGGCAGTTCCGACGTAAAAACACACACCACGACTACGGAACCAGTCCCCGCCCTCTAATCACATCGAGAGCCCTACACGCGAAACCTGCTTTTGCATCTGCAACCCTTGGGGTTTAGCGAGTGTGAGCGCCGAAACCCCAATTTGGCATATGAGGTTCGTTGAGTTGCAGTTGCCATGATGATCTATGGATGTGCTATCTGAATGTTGCTGGATTGTCGCTTACCCTTGCCTGCATTCCGAGTTGCTTGTGGTAAATCAAGCCTAATACTAAGCCCCATCGTATCCCTACAACCCATATCCCTACAACTCTATATCCCCACAGCTCTATAATCATAAGCGTAATAACCCTGTAACCCTAAGCCCTAAACCCTAAATCCTATGATTGCTAAGAACCTTGTAACCCCAAGCCCTAAACCCGTCGGCTTTCACGGACAGGGTGGTCTTGAGTGGGAGTAGCACACCACGAGATGCACACTTACTTTATTGTTGTAGTTGTAGCCGTATGGAAAAGTTGATTGTTAATAAAATGTCTCCCTTAGAGATCTCTCACTCAACAGACTCCGAACGATATGCCTCGCCTGGATTGTCCGAGTGTGAACACCGAAGCCCGTTCAGTGAGGGCAAACTTCAGTGACAAGAGGTGAGTGTCACACGGATCGAGAGACCTCGTCTGGCGCAGTCCGAGTTGCGAGAGTGTGTGCCCGTTCTTTGCCCCTTCGAGACAGGCACGCACCTTTCAAGCAGCAGCAATGCCTCAACTCGAAATGGACATAATTGCAACCTTTGCGCGATTCTTTGAACTCGACATGAGTACAACGATGATCTGGTACAAATTCCTGACCTTGTGTGTAATAGGCCATCAAGCTGCCTATCACACGAGGTCCGAAAGAGGTCCTTAAAATTTGCTGTCAGCAGCACAGCTTCTTCAACTGTTACTTCGGAGTTACCCTGCCATGCCGGCTTTGTCTTTGCTAGGTAGGAGGGAAAAAACCCTAAACTATAGCAGGCCTCGCCTGGTATTGCCAAGTCTGAGCGTCAAACAACTCCGATAACTACAGCGTTGTAGCACTCTTTAACCCTAAACCCCTAAATCATGGACCCAGAAGCCGTGCCTGCGATTGCGCGAGTGTGCGAGTCGAAATTTTAGACTTGTAACCCCAAACTTGTAATCCTGAGCCCAGGAAGGCCCTGAAGTGGGTCAAAGTCTTCGATCCCCCGGCTTTCTCGCAGCTCGAGGCAACGAAGTCCAAGATGGCTTACCAGAATGTGCCTCAGCCTTTTTAGGGGTTCCGAAGTTGGTGTAGGGTTAAGGATTTAGGGTTTCGGGTGACGCTTGGCTGAGGGGATTCAGGGCTCGGTGCATTGCAGTCCCTGCTCACAAAAGGGTTCAGGCTAATCGGGTTTACGGTTTACGAGCTTAAGGTATAGAGTATAGGGGTCGAACAATTAAGGAGAGTGTGCCCTTGTGGTCCCATGCGCTTATCCTAGAATAACTGTGATTTTCTCAAAGCGATTTATTAGGGTTGCAGCTTTCCGCCAAGAGTCCAGAGTTTCCTGGGGCCTAGGGATTTGGCCCTCAGCATGAAAGACCATGAAAGACCCCTGTGTGACCTTCCACCGCTCAAGCCCAAAACAAGACATGCAAACCCATAGCATTGTTTGGCTGATGGTTTTCCAGGTGAAGATCAGTCCTGCGGCTTTTCTGACCTCGTCTATCCTCATTGCCACGAAGATTGCGAAGAAACAGCAGCCTCCCAATGTTTAAGGTTTCGGACTACGGAAATCTGGGTTCGGGGGGTCGATGGTTGATGATAGAATTCCTGCACGGTCTCAACTATTCTGAAGCCTTGAGCAGAGCAGTGTGCTGCTGGTTTAGGCAAAGATTGGCCGTGCGGTATTTTCGAGCGCCCACATAACTTGTGACAGTGTTATCTTTTGATGTCCAGGGGTTTCTGGGTCAACTACATAGACGAGAACAAAGCCAAGAGATGCCAAGAGTCTCTCCCCACAAAAAGGGCTTGGGCACTCAGCTGCGAGATCGTTTCCAAGCCTGGGGTCAACAGGAATGAGATGGCTCTGCCGTATCGGCTTGAGGGCTCCCCTTGCGCAACCACAAACCCCAAACCATCAATCTTTCACCCAAAGATCCCAGCTTCTGGCATTTCAACGGACTTGTCGTGAAACTTGTCTGCTGAGAGAGATCGCGGGAGTCGAAGCACCCGAACCTCAAGACGTCAAACCTTTGTTCCCTACCCTCGCAAGTGCTCAGACCGTAGACTTAGACCCTCTTCAGGAAGATCCGCTTCATTCTGGGGGTCTTTGATGAGGATGACTCAGAGACTTTCGACCGGAACGAATTTGTCGAGATGATCTCGTCCTTCTTGTTGGGCCTGGGTACTATATTCGGTTCCTGGCAAGAAAGCCCTTAACCCCACGTGAACCCTAAACCCAGAAGGGTGCGATGATGTCGGACGTTCGGTCCAGGGGCGGCGTATGAGAGAACCCGATTCACTGAAATCCCGGTATCCTGTCTCCCTGGAAGGCAGCTCCGTCCCCAAGCCCAGCAGACGCCAGTGGATAGGGAAACTTCTCTTCGATCGCATTCAGATGATGGCCTGCTGCAAGCTGCCGGCTCTGGAGGTTTTGGGAAGTTCGCTAAGCCATAAGTCATATATCCCTAGACTGCAGGCGCCAAAATAAACGTAAACCCTGCGGGGTCCATTCGTTTATGTAAAAAAGGAGGAGTTTGGTGACTCATTCGATGAACCCATCCTTCCGAGTTCATGCGCATGGATGTCGATGTTCCCGAATACCCTCTTGCATTGAACACCCTGTAGCTCGAAGTCTTAACCAATGAAATTGAATGCGCAGGCGGCGACACTTAAATCCTCCGACTCCATGCCGTTCAGTCTGCTGGAAGAATCTGGATTTGAGATAAGGGATGGTACGGAAAATTCCGAACCGGAAACTCAAGGGAACGCTGTCGTGTTTGCTTTTGTGGACTTGGGTGTGGGAATGCATGTTGAGGTTTTCAGAAAGGACGCCCGCTTCAGAACTCCATGAGTCATGAGGTGTATATGTGAAGGAAGCTGGGGCAGGCCAGGTTCTTTAAGTACTAGGAGTCGAAGTGGTCGGCGCTGAAGCAGTGCTAGCAGTAGCAGCAGCAGCAGCAGTAGCAGTAGTAGTAGCAGCAGCAGTAGTAACAGTAGTAGTATCAGAAGAAGTAGTAGTGGGAGTCGGAGTAGGTTCTGCAGTAGTCCATAGGAAAAAGCAGTAGCAGCAGAAGTTGCAGAAGAAAGTAGTAGTTGTAGAAGTAGTAGTAGCGGCTGCAGGCAGCAGCGCCAGCATCAGTAGGAGAAATATGCGTAGTAGTATGATGTTATCTCGGAGCCCATGAGCTCCGCCTCCCGAAATCTAGGTTGTACGAGAAATATGCGTGGTAGTATGATGTTATCTCGGAGCCCATGAACTCCGCCTCCCGAAATCTAGGTTCACTCCAAACCCTCGCCTGCAGCAGTCGAGCGCGAGTGCTAAAATGATGGTATCCAGCAGCAGTCATCGTCGTTTCCGTCGTCGTCAATGACACGCACGCATGAGAAGGATGTAGAGAGCGGTAAAATACTAGATTGTGGCCGTCGCCAGAATGTCAACATGATAGGTGCAGTAGTACATGCCTTTCGTTTGTAGGGACCCAGACAGCAACTCAGGAATGGTTCCTGGGAGAGTCAGGCGAGACGGCCACTGTTCCAACTTCTCGGGTCCTAACAACATCTACACTATAAAGCCTTATGTAGCCTAAGAATTCCATACTTTGCCACCTTCGCCATACTCCCAGTGAATTTCTCTCGGTTTGGATGCTTGACCGGACGCTGTGATCGAGGACGAATCCCGGCTCGAAACCTCACATCCATATCGCCCAGCAACCATGACCCTCTTGGGATGCCTGTCACCTTGCTCAAGGGTGCCCAGATCCCACAGCTGTACAAATAAAGCTCAGTTTCCGTGCTATACTGCATCACTTGTCAGGTTCTTTTCGATCTGGCTCTCCCCGCCCCCCCGAAATGCCCGTCACCCCTACCCGAAACTCAAGCTTCTTTTGCCCTTTCAGGCGATCCATTTGCGGTGCCCTTCGCACTCCTCCTGGAGCGCTTTTCTTTGCCAGGCTTTAATGAGGACCCCGAGAAGTTCGAGGACGAGGACACAAGGTTCAAGATCACGCATAGGAGACGTGTAGCGCCTCCGGTGGAGACGGAAAGTTCCTTGGACATGAGCTTCATCAAGCGGCACCAGATTGAACCGCTGCGACGAATGTTTGACTTCTGCCAAAAGGACTCTTACTATTCGATCTCCCACGGAGAGGCAGAGCGGGCACTCGAAACATCAATTCATCCGGACCTGTGGTGCAGCTTCGCAGCACGGGGCTTGGAACAATTGGAGTCTATGCCGCAGAGCAGGAAAAGCGTTGCTTTCCTGACCTTTTTGAAGAAGGCCATGCCACACGCACAACCCCGACACCACCGCATGTTCTCCTCATGGCTTCAAGAGTTGGATGAAATTGAGCAGCTCAAGAAGCAAGTCGCGACCTCCCGAAGTGAGCAGCAACGTTTCCAAAATTACATCTCTCGCTGGCCTCTACATGCAGTACGCCGGCGGAAGCTGCAGGAGCAGTTCGAGATGTTGGGGGAGAAGGCCCTTGTGCATGGTGATGTCGAGGACCAGCTTGGATGACTCAACGTTTCTTACGCGGGGTTTCGTGCAAGACTCCGCAGGGTTTAACATGGTGCCTGTGTAGAGGCCATGTTATATCAGGATACTGAGGGATGCGACAGCTCCTGAAAAATCAAGATGTCTAGAATTGCTTGGCCTGGCCGAGAGGAGGAGGAGGTCGTCGTGCAAGACCCTATCCTGGAGCGGTCCGCCAGTCGCTTTAGGCAGATCTTTTCCATGTTCAAACCGTAAACCCCAGCCCTTCCCCCCTTGCCACTATTGTCTTGAATCCAAGGCTACAAAGCGCGGACAAGATGACCAAGGACGACTACGTTGCGGCCAAGTGTGGTGTTGAGCAGCGACCCAACGAGAGCAAACCGCAGCTGGATCAGGTCGTGGGCGACTTCCTGCGCCACCAGGTAAGGCAGCTTGAGGACCTGGCGAGTACTCCCAAGCCCCTGATATATTATAATATGCTATATATATATATATATGCTATCCCCCCCCTCAAGGATCTACCTTTTCGTGTGTTTGAGAGCCGGATGGGAAATAGTTGATATTCTATAACGTATTCCGTATTCCCTTCTCTTTATAAGTCCTTCACTAAATACGCTTCGACTCGATCAAAGATTTCGCAGATCCTAAATTCTGCATTTCCTTCATATACACACTGAGTTTTTCCAAGCGACATACATTCGCGTACGGCTTCTTCTCGTGTTGCAAAAGAACGCAAGGTTGCATGCATGTTCTGTGTGTGTATAGGTTTTTGCATGCAGCAGTATGGGCTGTGAAGGTAACACGCAACAGGAGAGCAAAGATATGTCATCCCGTATCACGACAAGTATAGATATGAAAAGAGGAGACGCATCGGGATTATAGGTAATATCCGCGAACACGAAATCTATCGATATTTCCAGGGTTCAATACCTTGTGTTTCACCTATATAGTGCCCTTTAAATTACATTTAAGAATACTTTGCAAAATTCCACTCACATAACCTTTATATCTTAGAGAAATCCACCCGAACATCCTGTCACATACCGTCTCCAAGACCACCTATATAGGATTCACCCCGCGCGCATTATATTACACATACCCTATAGGACACTATATACAAGACACTATATAGAATATCTTGCAGGATGTCCTTTGGAATACTTTCTCTATGTATCGTAAAGCCTTTCATATGGAATGCACTGATATAGAATACCCTCATGCCTTATTGAATACCCTAGAGCCTCGAGAATACCTTATCATATACTTTCAGTCACAGTCCGTATATCTTTTGAATATCTAGAATACCTTACAAAATACGACATAGAATACCCTACAAAATACCTTATGGAACACATACTACCCTCTATATGCCGTGCGCCTCATGGAAGACCGTCTGGAATACTCTAGAGAAGACCTTACAGGATGCCCATATGGCCCTATACATGACAGTCGTTGTATACAGTATATATACCATGAACCCATATAACATTTAGTGGCTCAAAACCAAACTTTCAACTTTTGGCCCCTAATAAGGTAATCTTGTTGCGAAAGTTTAAACTTCTTACACCCCCATAGGTATTTGGGAAGTAAGAGTACCTATAGATAACCTTTCAACGAGCCCAAGATCTGAGAACCCCTCATAAAGAAGCAGCCTATTGGGTAAGGGGTTTCTAGGAGTGATCCAGGAGTCGAAGAGAATAACCTAAAGAATACCACAAACCCCAAAGAATTTCGTACAGGTGACCCTAGGTAAGACGTTATAGAATATCCCCTATATACCTCATAGATATCTTCTTGAGTACCTTATAGCCGTATAGCCTATACATTACGTTATAGAACACGTTCTGTAAGATAATCTTTACGTTCATGTTGATGCCTTGTACAATCCCTTATACAATGCGTTATGGAGTACCCGATAGAAAGCCCCAAACAACGTTACATACTTGGCCTTTTATAGGCCTTGTACAATATCATCTGCATTTCCCTACCGACTAGCTTACAGAATACACAATATCCATGATACCCTCTGAGTACCCCATAGGAAGTCCTAAAGAAAACCTAACGGATATTCTATAACATACCCGTAGAATGCACCATAGAATGCCTTGTAGAGTACTTTATAGATAACGGATTAATGGCAGGATAATCAGGAGCAGAGTGCTCTGCGCTGTACCTGCTATGTGCCCAATGAAGAAATCAAAAACAAGAGCATATAGAACACCTTACACGATACTCCTCCTTTACATCTTAAAAATTTCATATAGATACCCATAGATTATAGAAACCGTTTATACCTTTATGAATCCTGTTGAATACCCGTTGGTGATTTCACGAATATTCACAGACCAAAAAAATGCTTGCCATCATTTTGAAAAACCGCTCACCAACACGCAGCACTCGAGATCCTGGTAAACACGTTCGGCACATCAAATTCACATTCCTCAACCCTGAACCTGAAACCCCGCCCAGTTGGGACGAAGCGCGATTGCAGTCAAGCGGCCCTGATTCAACTCAATCGGCCCCGATTGAACTCAATCGGGGGCCGGATTGAAGATTGAAGATTCCCCGGCAAAAGTTTTCGAGGGAATCTTCAATCTTCAATCCGGCGCCCGATTCAACTCAATCGGCCCCGATTGAACTCAATCGGGGGCCGGATTGAAGATTGAAGATTGAAGATTCCCCGGCAAAGTTTTCGAGGGAATCTTCAATCTTCAATCCGGCGCCCGATTCAACTCAATCGGCCCCGATTGAACTCAATCGGGGGGGGGGGCGACTGAGTTCAATCGGCCCGATTGAACTCAATCGGGCCAGGGTGGAGTTCACCCAGCCACAAAACGGTCCATCGGGTAGGCCCTCCCCTCAAGGATCTTCCATTTTCGTGTGATGTGGCTCACAAACACACGAAAAAGGTAGATCCATGGGGGGGGGGGGGGGATACCATATATATATATATATATATACATATTATAATATGGTATAGACTAGTACTATATATGTCTGTATATGTATATAGACCATCTTTCACCTTCTAGGATGTGTGAAAGTGTCAGCGGTCGGAGGGATTGTGCAGGCCGGTGTCACCTGACCCGTGACTGCACTTGTTTACGTAGCAGCCACAGGGACTCGTGGCACTGGTGTCGCAGTCTGAATACCTAGCACCTTGGTAGGTGTTGATGCCCATCCGATTCCTCCACCCACTACCCAACACTCGTAGCCCTCACTGACCGCACTGCAGGGTGAAAGGGTTACAGGACCGGGGCCACAAACGGGCAGAGTGGGCTTTACAATGCTGCCCTCATCACACCACAAAGGCGAGGAGAGGGGCCACCATGCAAAACAGAAGCAATCACCACACGGCACGGGAAGGGAGAGAGCACCCGTACCACCGCACAATACGATCGCAAAGGGGGGAAGAAGCAAACTGGCGCAGGGGATATTTGAAGCACATCAGTCATGTCAAGCAAAAATCCGACCCAGAGTTCCAGGCTTCTTTTTTGTTGTCGGTTGCCTTCACCAGGAAACTCTCGCACAGCTGGAGAGCCTATTCGCCAGTGGCAATGGTGTCACAGGAAGGCCAAGCTTCATCAAGCCTGCTGTCACACAGCGACAACGGGCGGTTGATGGAAATAATTTTCTTTAGGACGCGTAGTTAACAAAAACCGCAACCCTGGCTAAACGAAGAGGTAGCTCAGTCATACTGTAGGCTGTTAGCAATGATCCAGGACAGTGGAGCTTGTGGAACGAGGCTTTTGACATGATGACTCCTACTTGCGCAAACACTGGCAGAGTGAATCTGAAAGAGTTCGCCTTTCAGCACGACATTTGTCCTGCTACATGCGTATACCTGTGCCAGAGCATCGGGCATGGCACCGAAATGCACGATTTGGGCTTTACCAAGGATGAATTTCTGCAAAAGATGCTTGATACATTCAGGCATCGCGTGCGGAAGGAATTTCTTGTTCAGGGCCGACTCTGCAAAATGTGATATGAGGCAGCACTCAAGTTGATATACGTTTCGGATCTGTAAACAGAAGCCCGTCAGCGTTGGTCAGCTTAACCCTGGGGATCGAAGATCTGGCGCAACACGCCATTGAGATCTCCCGTTGCATACCTTGGCTTGCAGGTCAGTTGGACATTGAACCTGCCCACCAATGCATGCCCTTTCGCTGATCCATGTTGACATGTATATGGAGCTCTGTTTGCCGGATGCATGAGTCTTGATTGGCTGGGGTCCCTGAACGCCTGAACGGAGTAGATCCTGCATGACCTTGACTACAACTAACTGGGGAAAATGATACGACGTATTTATGTCGGACCTAAGTAGACATACCTCCGGACTCAATATACATGTTTGTGCAGAAATAACCGGGACCCCTCCAGTTGGGCAATCGATCGAAATGCAATGTTGTGTGCTGACTTTCTTGACCCTAAGTCATCAACCCTATGTACACCCAGCATAGTTTTTCAGCGAGAACTTCAGGATTGCCGTGCTGCAGGTTGATTTGGAGCTAGGTTTCAGGGCTTGGGGAAGGGAGAGAAGGAGGCAGTGAGGTACGATAGATGTGCGTTCCTTTGCCAAAGATTTTGTCGCACGAGCCCCTTGACCAAGACAGAGGGAAGCGAACCCGGTCGCTGTATTTTACTGTGCATAGTCATATCCTTTTGAAGGGCATTGTATTACTCGCATGCCCACCTGTAATATCCTTGCAACCGTCCAGAATCCCTGCCATCCCTTTACAATTTCTGTACTAAAATGTAGACCTTCCTAAGACCCTCATCATCGAGAGGATCTGGCAAAAAATCTCAGCTTCCAGTAAGCACGGAACAATTTCGGAAGCCCCAGGCAGGGGTTTGACTCCACGCCGATACTTGGGCAGTTCTGATTCTTGAGAAGCGCGTCCTAGACGTCCAGATCACCTGCAGAAGGAAATCCATCCTTGGGATCGATCATCTGGCGCAACACGCCATTGAGATCTCCCTCTGCCTGCTTTGGCTTGCGGGACTGTTGTTTATGAACCTGCAAGCTAAAAGCCCGCACTTTGGCTGATTCTCCTTAGATTCAGAGGTTTAGCAGATCTGCTGTCCATGGTTTCGGCCATCGGCTTCCCGGAAGAGTCACGGGTTCGGAACATGCTTGTTATATCTTGTTATGGTTCCTGACATGTGCAAAACCCTTACCTAGAGGAGGGAAAAAATCTAGGATTTCTTTTGACTTGCTTCTTGATGGCCATGGCACCGTTCGAGAAACGAACATATCATCATTCTGGCACGACTTTATGATCTTTATGCGGGGCGGATTGGTCAAAAGCCATTGCAAAGCAACTGAGACTGATTAGAATATTGCATTGAATCCCCATTGCAGTCTCCCTGCATGAGGGCTCAATCACCCGCTGCTGGGTCTGAGTGGTCTGAATTTTCCATATATGCGACCAGCCGGATTTAACTTGACTTTACGGCGAAGCCAAATCTGCGAGTTTCCATGAGCATGGAGGCCGCTACACTCTGCAGTAGCTTTTCAGAATTTCACGCACAAACAAAGCGCAGATGAACCCGTGGATCATCCGTATTCGGGAAAAGCAGGAAGGTTGGAAGCAGCTTTCTTGCGCGTTTTTGCCCTAGAAGTTGTAGGTTGTCGCTGGACTGGAAGAAGTAAAGGCCCGCTCTGTCAAGCGGGGCCTTCGGGGCAGGCCAAAGGCCTCGAAATATTGGCGAAGCATGGATTATGAATTAAAGATTCGATATATTATCGGGAAAGGGATTTGAATTATAAAAAATAATCATGATACTGAAGATATTGCGATTATATGTTTATAATCGATACGTTCTTTTGATAGGTTTTTTGAATATATCTATTAATATAGAGTTTAAAATTGAAATTAATATAGAAAATATCTTTCTATGATACTAAATTCGTGAGATTAAGGGAAGATTATTCTTTTTCGATTATTGTATAGATATAGATATATATATATATATATATTTATCAATATATATTCTATATTTATCGCTTTAGTATTTTAATTGAGTTCTTTGATTCTAGGATCTATTAGTTAATTAGGGGCCCGCTGTTTCTAATAATGGATATTTAAGGAATCGACTAGGCTAATAATCTCATTTATATTTAATATAATATTATATTAATTTCATATTGATTTTATAT